AAGTTTCAAAGACTGGACATGAGTAGTATCATAAGAGCACACGACTTATTTTACTTTAAGTATTTCTTTCAATTTTTGGTTTTGTTTTTGTTTCTTTTAAATTCTGGTATAATGAAACAAAATTTATTAATTGGCAATTTTTAATTAATTTTCATATTTAATCTAAAGTCTAGATTTTATATAAATTACTTGTATCATCTTTACCATTATTTATAACCAGTGACAAATACTCGTATAATAATTTTTTACTTAAGAAGATATTAAATATATTATGTATATGTTGTTTATATTAGTTATATATATATATATATATATATATATATATATATATATATATATATATATATATATATATATATATATATATATATATATATATATATATTAAGTATTACTTTTTATATTTTCTCAATTCAATAATGCACCGCTTAGGTACTTATTTCTTGGTTTGTCCAATGGTTGACTGGTAGAGAACACCGTCCGGTGTTAAGTCCGCTACATATACATCGTTTCACTATGCATTCAAGTTTAAATAAATATATAAATATTTATTTAAGCAATATTATATTTTTAAAGATTAATGAAAAGTCGGAAAATTGACATTTGTTTATTAGGATTCTTACGTAACGAAGTCTAGGTTAGTTAACTCCTAAATGTAATGCAAACTTCGGTTTAATTGGATGACGTGGTTGTGTAACTAATTGTAATTACTCCTAGTAGTTAGTCGGATAAGACGTTGGTGGATGAAGTAAACTATTTAACTTTGAGTTACTGCTTAGATAACTAACTACTCAGCATTTCTAAGCCTCATTACAGAGCTTATTATTAATAATATTGAAAATTTGTCGCTTGTAAGTTTGGATGTTTCTTGATCTTTTAGTATGGATTTTATGGAAAGATTGACCATGTAATAAATTTATGCGGACATAGTGGCAATGGGGACTAAGAGCCCCGTTACAAATAAATCTTTTGCTTTTCCTCATCCACAATGAACAAACGTTTTTTATTGTATAATATCTGCATTTTTTTTAACACAAAACAATATCACAAAACAACACAAAGGTCTGCCAATGGAGGAAGACATTTTAATATGATACGTAAGTCTATGAAAAAGTCATACCATATAAATTAACATTATGTACCTGTAATTACTATTATTGCTGGGGTTGAGTAACGAATACCCATTACCTCTCCCTATTGAAATTTCCAAATGTGCTGAGTTGAGTGTTTTCAAATGATAGCACGGTAGAAATCAAATGTAAAAACGTTTGAAAATACCTTAATAGGCGAAACCTGGCCACTAATTGAACTGAAATATAGAGGAGTACAAATGTTTTGGTTGTATTATCTATAAAATAAAAGAAGTTTTCAAAAATAGAAATATAAGATAAAAAAAAAATTTGCAATTTCTTTGTAAGATACGATGTCTTAAATATAAATGTAGATAAGGACTAAAGTCCTTAAAGTTTAAAAAATATATATATATAATAGACTACATTAAACTTGCAATAACGTCATTAGTGTATACAAGTAATGTATATGAAAAAGATAGATACAATGATGACAATCAACGTTTATTAAAAAATTAAAATGTATGAAATTGCATAAGACGTTTTCAATTCAAGACAGATTTTAGTTAATTGTTAATATTAATTATTAACTAGTTTTATGATTTATTTTAAAGATTAAATTATTTTTGGCATTAAAAGTTACAATATATTACAAATAGTTGATAAGTTTTCGTTCATACTTGAAATACTTTGCTTTTTTAGATTGCATTTTTTAAGCATTAAGAATTTTATTAAAAGTAATTTAAGAATAGCATATTTGTTTTTCACAAAAATTCCAAAGACAAAGAATGGCGTAGGATACACTCAAATGGGTCACAATATAAGCGTGATTGCAGCTTGGGGAAATCAAATTAGACTTATGTACAGAACGTGCTCTCATGATAAAAAAAAAACAGAGCGTGATGAAAATATTTACTACTAAATTTTCTTTTGTAACTATTATCATTAATTTATAATAAAAGAACATAGATAAGAAAACGGGTTAAGAAATAATTAAATTTAAAACAATTTAAAAGAACAATGCAATAATATTATATAACATTCTTCACGACTGGAGTCAAGTAATTAAATAATGCTCTCTAAAAAGTATTTCAGTATATAAAATTTGGAGAAAAAGAAAAGAACAAGGATCTCTTTAAATATTGTAATATAATTATATATATATATATATATATATATATATATATATATATATATATATATATATATATATATATATATATATATATATTATATTATTTTACTTTCCAAATATTAAATTTATGGCTACAATCTCCGGTCAAAAATGGACAAATTACATTTTTCTTTCTTTATCTTCTAAAAATATTTGTAATTAAGTTTACTTGAATAAATAAATATTATTATTAGAAATTTTGCAAAGACAGTCATTACACGTTATTTTTTCTTTTGAAAAAATGTTTATTTATTAATGTTATCTCTTGCATCTACATCCTTATATTAAAGCTGTTAAAATAATAAACTAAATTAATTTAAGATGCTCCTATGTTATCATAATTTGGTACACAATCTATAGAGTTGATTTCAAATAAATATTTTTTTTTTTTTATCTTTGTAGACCTTTTTGTATGTACTACAAAGGCCAGCCTAAAATCTATTAACATTAGGTTGAATATCAGTTACACCTGTAAACCCAATGTCTTTATTATCATGAAATATATGAGTAAATTTAATGTTCTTAAATCCATTACTTATTTGTACTGTATGTTGTAATATACACAAATAACTTTTTAATTTAGTATAGATGAATATATTATTACCAAAGCAATGTCTAGTCTCGATTAAAAATGTAATAGTTTAAAGAGATTATAAGTAATCAATTATTTTGTTACATACTTTTTGAACTTTAGGTTATAACATAGATAATATAATACTATATTAGTAGTTATAGTAAAAGGTAAATGATATTGTATCAATAGTATTACTTATTAATAAAAAATAATGTCAAAAGCTTTCGTCTATTTAATATACCTATGAACACTGGTCTAGAAGGTTCTTGATACACTAAAATGTTAAATATAGAACAAGACAGATGAAAATAGAGTCAAGTCATATTGCTAAAGTTGAAATTTCAATTTCAGCGACAATGTAACAGTTTTGATTTATTATTCAGTGCCAACAGTGAAATAACACTAAAACTATTCATAAATAAAACATGTCCTTCCTATACAAGTAAAAGTAAATAAATAAGCACATGTTTTGTATTTTTTACGAAATAAATGTCATCATCATCATCATTTTAGCTATTATTTGTCCACTGCTGGACATAAGCCTCCCTCATGGACTGCCATAAAGAACGGTACTAAGCCTGCATCCACTGACTCCCTGCAATGCATTTCAGGTCGTCACTCCATCTAGTGGGAGCTCGTCCTACACTGTGTTTACTCGTACGCGGTCGCTACTCAAGAACCTTTCTTCCCCATCAGTTGTCGGTCCTTCGAGCTATGTGACCAGCCCATTGTCACTTCAGCTTGCTTATCCTTCGGGCTATGTCGGTTATTTTTGTTCTTTTGCGGAATTCTTCATTTCGGATTTTATGACGCAAAGAGGCTTCGAACATAGCCCTCTCCATAGCCTGCTGAGTAATTTGTAGCTTTTGAAAAAGCTACAAAAATAATAGCTAATAAAAATTATGAATAATTTTATTTATTTATTTTTTCTACACAATAAGAGTGCTTGGTTGTTAGATGTATAGTCGGCTTGAATAGTAAATGATTATCGTAATCTCTAATTACTTGCACCACTAGAAGCATAATTGAAATTAACGGCAATTAACTGCAAGTCTCTATTTTCAACCGACTTCAAGAGGTCGACCTCCACGTGGTTCCTCCTGGAAACCATCATGAACAATTCTTGTTGAATTTGTCACGATGGAGTAACTGACCTGCTTCATCCTTACCTATCATCCTTCACTGGTGCCTCGTCGATATATACCGATAGCGCGGGTAGGGTTACCATTCCATTATCATCCATTAAAAAAAAAAAGAAAAAAAGCCGACTTCAAGAAATGAGGAGCTTATCAATTTGGTTGTATTGGTTCTTTGTATGTTACCTTATAACTCTGTCAGTTATAAATCGATTTGTAAAATTATTTTTTTATTTCATAGAATATACTTTTAGATTAGAACCATAATTTTTTTATTAAAATCTGTTCATTAATTTAGTTTTTAAATTAGATTATAGGTTTTTATGGAACACAATCTTAATTATGCTGTAAGTACTATTACTTCTACTAATCATGTGGTATAATCAATAGTAATAAATAATAATAAATCATGTAGTAATCATACTAATATAAATTTATATTGTATAAATATTAAACAATTTATTTATTAATAAAATAAACAAAATAAATGTATTTATTAATTAATTACCCTGTGGTGTCAAATTTCTAAGTCGCCTTTGTTGTATATGTAGATAGTCAAATCATGTATATAGTATACCAAAAACAAAGACTGTGATTGCACAAAATCTTTGCTTTTGGCAAATAAAATCATATTACGCCGATTTCTAATAAATAAGGGCAGGAACATGATGACGACTGATAGTTACAGAATTCTAACCTGTGTTTTCACTACTATGTACCTTAAAACTGGAACACAACAATGTAATTATGTAGTTGGTTGGCGGCAGATATATGTGAGATAGACAACTACCTGTGCATACGACTTTGTTGACATATATTTTATGTAAAGTTATATCATGATGTAACTTTACATATAATATATAAAAACTTAGTGACATATTTACTACTTAGAAAATAGTCAAATTTAAAGTATAAAATTTATAGTAAATATTTTCACTATCTCGAAGAAAATTTACAAAATCAATTAAAATGTTTGATTTGTGAAAATTTGTTTGTTTTTATGTAATGACGCAGATAAAAGGAATAAAAGAATAATTGAGTTATTTTATTTCAAAACATTTATTTTGATCATTTATTACACCGATAAAGCAATTTGCTTAACAAATATATTTCACAAACTGACTAGATAGTGACTAGATTGCCTCTACGGGCCACCTGTTGCTTTGGCACGCAACACTCAACCTTACGCAGTCCACCATAAGAAGTAGCCAGAGCCCGAAGTAAAGGTACGGGAGTTCTTTGAAAACAGGGAACACTTTACACAAAAGAAAAACACCATTTGAACATTGAAAGTCACTGCACATGTTTGAAGAAGTCAGGTACGAAGATTTTAGGTTCTTGAGGGCTCTGGGCCGAGCAATGCTCAGGCCACTGCCATCTCACCGATGCCGCGCAGCAGGCGTGAGCGCAGCCGCGCGAATACGGGGTGCTGAATCGGTACTCCACGCATGTGCAAAAATCTCAGCGTCTCTTGGGCACACACTAGAAATCCAAGCAGCTCCGGGTCCATATCCACTGGTACAGAGTCCAGCAAGGGATCATTGTTTTCATCGCTGTCGTTGCCAAAGTCACTATAGTTATGTTCTGGACCTTCTTCGTTTAATTCTCGTTGGTTATCAACTTCCACGGAACAAATCCGTCCGAAAAGACGTTTCAAAGCTTGCCGCTTCTCAGCATTGTCAGGATCATTAGCAGGCTCACTGTGTGACCGTTTCCGACGCCGTTGTCGCCTCACGCGCCGGTCGGCATCCTCCGCGTCGCGATCTCGTTTATTTTTCATAATCAGTTTGCCCGTCGGCGTCGCGGTTCAAACTGCGAATGGACTGTGCACAGGGAATTGAAGGGCCTCGATGCGATTACACCGGGTGTAGTCCGTCTCAATTAGACGGTGTGCAGCTATACGCGTTAGAGCGAGACGGAGCAGCCAGCTGCAGTAGGAACAGCTGGGTGAGCAGATGCAGGGCGTGGGGCATACACGCTTTGTTTGATAAAGTTTATTCGGGGAAATAAAACTGTTAGCCGCGATTGCGCGGGTCGTTGGGGGCGCGGAGCGCGGGGCGAGACCACTGCCCCGGACGGCAGCTGTGACGCATCTGCCGTGCTCAGCTCAGGTGAATTCACATGCTTCATCTCAAGGTGCCGACGTCAAGTAATTAAGTCGCCTATAGATTTGGCAAACAAAGCTGAGCTGCAATCCATCCTGCACTAGACGTATATAACGTCGTACATAATTGTAGTCTCACATAGCCGTCAACGTACCTAATATAGACATAAGCAATTTAGATAACATGATTTGTCTAAACAACTGAATAGTAGATGTTATATAGGTTTCACATTGACGTTTCGAGACAGCTTATAGTCAAGTTTGAAATGCTTTTGACAATTTTCTTATAAGATGATTTCGAAATCAATTGGAAATCCTTTGTTTTAGAGGTAGTGATTTATAAACACCTATTTGAATTTACGAATTGTGTTCGCCGACCGGCGAAAAATACAAAACGGGTTCATCGTTTTCCGGACAGTTCATGCAACTCGTATATAAAACGACTATGTACTGACTATGTAAATTGTAAAAATCAATACGCAGGCTATGTAGTCCCGGGACGAGCTGTCGGCTATATGCTCTTCCTGTACATCATATCTAGGTTTCAGTGAAATACAGCTAATGTTGCTGCGGGCGTATGAGGTATCCAATAATACGGTACAAAGTAACATTCTCCGGTCTTATGGCTAAAGGAGTTTCTGTTATAATCACTTAAGATTGTTTATATGTTGTACACAAAGATAATAAAAATATACGTATTATATGCAATAGGTGTATGTTAATAGAGTATATTTTATGACACAAATAATTATTCGAGGAGGAATGTCGTGATAGGGACAGGTATACCTATGTATACAGATGTTTGTACACGATTTTTAAGAATAATAACTTAGCAATTTAATTGAGGTCGAAAAATGATCTATATTTTTCGGGATTAAAGATTAGCAACGCATAAGGAGTGATAAGTCATGGGCGACACAGTATATTTGGTATAGTCCAGGATTCCGTTCAAGTTTATTTGCTAGCGCGGAATCGATACCACGTATAAGCATGTATAAGGAGTCTTTTTATCTCTCCTATAAACCTAAAATTAAAATCTTAAACTGAAAAAAATGGTAATTTTATGTTTTTTTACTTGTATAAAAAATTAAGTGATTGGATAAAAAAAAATTAAACTTTAAAAATTGAGATTTTAAGCAATACTTAGACAAAATGATGATAATTAAATCTTAATAAGTAAGTGTATGCATATTTTAATAGAGAATCGAATAATCACGAATACTAATACGAATAGTAATACTCGTATTTGCGTATTGTACTGTCAGTCAGTGGTCCACTTTATTTTTTATTGTACAGTCAGACAGATTTTTCATTGATGTGTTGCTCAGTTGCTCGTCGGAAGCGAATAATAAATTCTCGGCAGAGATTCACAATCATTGTACAGCAATGGTTATATACTATGACATGCAGGATATATACGTTGATTGTGACATGTACTTTCTTAAAGCGTTCTCAGGAACATAAAAAGATTAATATGTATGGGTGATTATTACCTCAGCTTTACACGTGTGTAATCACAACATTTATTTACTTATATAAGAATTTAATTAGTATGTGTAGTATATTGTTTGTGTGGTCCCGGCATAGAATAGACTATCCCTTCCTTTCCTGTGAGTGCCGTAAGAGATAGATAGATAGATAATTTATTTGTATTACTCACAGCACACAAATTACAACATACATATACAAAAAAAAGCGAGATAACATAAATGATAAAAAAAAATACACAAAGCTAAATACAGTTTTCGTTTGTGAGTGTGCCATAGCAATACAAGAGGTGACTAAAAGAACTTAATAGTAAAGGGATGGCAGCGTCCCTCTTAAAACATCTCTAAAAGTCTATCTGCAGTTGCCAACTCGTCTGTCAAGCGTGGCAACTACTGGTAATATCCTTCCTATGGGGAAGGCCTATGTTCAGCAGTGTGCAGTAAGTAGCTTATATTTTTTTTATGCAAATTAAAATGGCATACAAGCTGATGGCCCACCTGATAGAAAGTGGTGGGGGGAAGGGATTGTTAGTAATAGGGAGGTTAGTCCTCATTGCTATTAATATACCCTATCAGGTCGACCTCCACGCGGTTCCCCCTGGAAACTATCGTGGCTAATTTATCATTGAATTCGACACGATGGGCTAACTGACCTGTCTTTCATCCTCACCAATCATCCCTCACTGGGGGCACCAGTTTATATTAATAGCGCAGGCGGGGTTACCATTCTATTATTATCCATAAAAGTTGGAAAGTGGTAACCGTCGCCTATAAACATGAGCAGTACCATAGACTGTATTGTTTCGAGGTTGGTACCTCCCATGCGTTGCCATTCCTGAGGACTAAGGTGTTATTCCTCTGTACCCTGTAAATTCACTGCAATGATATGATGATGATGTATCGTATATACAAAACTACCTTGAAAAATATTTATATAATTTTGGAAGAAATAAGCAGAGAAACAGACAGCTACACGACATTGTTTTATATTTGTTATTTAATTAAAGAAGTTTATCCTTCGTTCCAAGTAATGTAAAAATATTATTAAAGTTAACCCATTTTGTTAAACGTTACAATAATATGTAATTTTATTTCAAAGACGTGATAAGAATAGTCGATTCCGAAACGCTGTTGTTTTTTTTCCCAACTGACTTCAAAAAGAAGGACGTTCTCAATTCGGTTGTATTTGTTTTATGTTGTTACCTAATAACTCCGTCAGTGGAAATAAAAAGAAATTTTATCAATATCGGTTCAGTAGTTTAGTTTTTGAATCAAAATATTTGTTTTTTTTTCACAATTGAAGTCTAAGAATTTTCTAACTAAAATGGTGCAACCAGTTGTTAAGTTAGTAGAGAAGGCTCAAAATTTCTTTATAGTTTTAGAACTCATGTATATATATTTTTTAAATTATTGTCTTACTTTTCTCATGTAGTGTAGGATTTATTGTTTAAAATACTAGTTCTATAAAATTATGAAATAACTAATTCCATTAATAAAAAAAGCTTATTTTCAATTATAGCTACAAAATTAATAGAAATTTTAAAATTGTACAAAACAACTGCCTTAAAAAAAGTATTCGTTTTGGTTTCGGCCGGGAAAGCAGTTTTGGTTGGATGTATCACGCAGAAACTACTGCATTAAATTAAATGAGATTTTCATAGGTGTATTCCTGCAGAACAAATTGGTGTTTTATTTCAAAATGTACGCATAGAAAGTTACGGACAAAATCTGGTTGTAAGTAAAATAATTTATTAATAAAATCATCTTAAAATCTGTCGTAAAAATTCCTCGCGCGTATGTCGCATTGCTTACTTGAACTTAGCAATTTCATTAGGAACGGAACGACAGGTGGTTCGATTTAGCACAAAGAACATTCTTTAATATTAGCACTGTATTGAAATTTAATCTTTATTACGCTAAGAATAAATGCCATCTTGGCTGGACTCTTGTATGAGGGGATGTGACGTTTCAGGATCACAAGGCATTCCACAATCCCTACGTAGACGAACAGTCAATCTCAGGATTACGGACGCGTTGCACGATATTATCCCGCTATTACACTATCAAAGATATAGGCTTAGATACAAGATCGTATATGAAGATACCTCAAGATGGACCTTCAAGGGTCAAACTTGATTACATAGATAAAGAATTAAGTATCAAAAATAGGTCAAAATTTAGTTAGCTAAAGTCTATTTGGCTGTTTGAATTTTGACAGTTTTTTTTTTTAAATCAAAATATTACACGCTATTTTTTCAGTGTTGCAATTTGTTTAAAAAATTTTCAGGTCAGGTCAACATTTTTAAATTGAATTGGGAGCAATTTTTTCTATAATTTTTAGTATATATATATATATATATATATATATATATATATATATATATATATATATATATATATATATATATATATATATATATATAAAAGCAAAACAAAGGCTCCTTTTTTTGCTAATAGTTTTTTCGCCCAAGGTACTTGGTTATTGGAGCCATATACGAGGATTTCTTTTTTATTTGATTTTGAAATATTTTTTCTTATATAGGCAATACATACTTTTGTTCGCAACTTTGTATGCGTGGATTTTGGAAGTAGAAAAACGAATGAACTAGATTAATAATAAATTCTATAATATTAATAAATAGATTTATGTTTGTTAACTTAAATCTATTCTTTGTTAGAAAATATGATTATTAAATTTTTTATTTATTCACTCCTGTGAATAAATAAATAAATAAAAAATTTTTTTTGGAGGACATAGAACAGTAATTATTTATTTATAGATTCAAGTTTAAGCCCAAATTGACTTGTCTTTGCTTTCTGTATTGAAGCATTGCGATTCTAATGAGTCGTCACTCACCCTTGGCACCTCTATGGTAGTACACACTGTAAATAAATCTAATTAATTCGAAGGGACAGCCTTGAGCCAGCCTCCTGTCACGTTCAATTTATATTAAATTTGGCGAAATGTGAATTTCTAAATGGAGTGTTTCGTTTAAATTACTGGCTACGATATAGAGGCTTAACACCTCAGTCTCAAGGAATATTAAACCATTCATATTAATAGTATAAACAACCTTTTTCCCGCGATTTCGTATACGTGAACTTAGTGAAAGTAGGAAATTTAATAAAATAGGCCAATTCTAGATAATGTATTAAGATAAAATATTCATGAGATTTTAATCGGGTTATCGAGATTCTACTGTAATACTTGATACAAGTTTTTTCTAAAAGACTACAGTATAGTATATTCTTCAAAAGGGAAGTAAGAGGTTTCTTCAGGGTCAGCAACGCGCGCATAATACCCCTAGTATTGCAGGCGTTCATAGGCTACGGTAACCGCTTACCATCAGGTGGGCCGTTTGCTTGTTTGCTACCTCAGTGGTATAAAAATAAACTTATAATAATAATCTTTATTAATTTTGCATAGTTTAAAAAAATGAGTTGGAGTGACTCCTTTTAAGTATAATTAAATACCTGTGTTAGAAAATATCGCTCTTCCAGGGTTCGTTATA